ATTTTTGTCTACCATGAGATAATGAAGACTTTTTTCTGTGTTCTCTTCTTTTTTTTTTTTTTATAGAATTGAAAGATAATATGTCTTTTCATGAACTTTTTTTTTAATTTTTGTCTACCATGAGATAATGAAGACTTTTTTCTGTGTTCTCTTCTTTTTTTTTTTTTATAGAATTGAAAGATAATATGTCTTTTCATGAACTTTTTTTTAAATTTAAATTTTATTTTATTTTGTCAATATACAACGTGGTTGATTTCTATATTCTCTTCTAAAAGATTTCTAGATTTTGCCTTTAACATTTATGTCTTTATGCTGCCTGGAATTGATTTCTGTAGGGTAGGATTCAATTTCTTTTTCCCCCTAAAGCGGGTATCCAGTTGTTCCAGTATCATTTATCGAAAAGTTCGTCTCTTCTACACTGATATTCAGTGCCATTTTAGGCAAAAATTAAGTGACCATATATGTCTAGGTCTATCTCTGGATTCTATGTCTGTTGCATTTGTCTCTCCTTGAAGTAAAACCACACTATCTTATTCACTGTAACTTTATATTTGGAGCAAGTCTTTCCACCTTCCTGTTCCTCAAGAGTATCTTGGCTATTTGTGTTGCTTTGCATGTCCGTGTAAATTTTTGAATTAGCTTGGCTCCCCGCAAACATCTCTTAAGATTTTAATTGAATTGCAGTGTATCTGTAATTATATGGGAAGACATTTGGGAACTCTTCTGGTAAGACGAATCTCTCAATTGATATAGGTCTTAATGTTTCTCACTAAAGTCTTGCTTATCTCCTGTAAATAGTTGTAGACAACTAGGAATTATGTAATCCGTTGTGTAGTGTACTCCTTTTTGCATTGACTGTCAGGAATCTCAGCACTTCAGAAAATGATCAATTATAGTAATAATTTTAGCCTGGACTTTTGATATTGAGTACTGATGACTTCTTCTTTTTTAAAAAAAATACATAAAACAGAAAAACAGCTTTATTAGAAAGACTGAAGTGATTGTATGCTAACTTGAACAGCTAAATTGTACAAGAAAGGGCTTGAAAATTCCCTCTGATGTCCTCCAAAACTTAGATCCCATTATATGCACCTTGTTTTTTTCTCAGACTTCCAACTACAGCTTGGAGTTGAGCAGAAACATGGCTTAACAGTTTCCCTCAAATCATTCTTGGACTCCAGGCAAGGTTTTGGACCTTTGAGCCAACATGCGGGTTACTGGTAACAGTACCTG